AATGCGCGGTTTCATGCTCCAATAAGTCTTACTCTGAAAGTAAAATCTCTTATCCTGTATCTAGTGACAGAATCCCTATCGTCTATTTGGAATATTCGTTGTTCCAAGAAATTACATCAAAAGTCCCCAACCTCTTATTCCCTCGTCTGCCACTTCCTCAATAACGTTATTATCCTCATTAGATCGGATTTCACCCGTTTCCCCCAAAACATTTTCTCCGAGTACTGGTGTTCCACTGACATTTTTTGTAATATTAGCGATGACAAATTGGAAATCAAAATTCCGTTGTAAAACATACCTATTGTTTATATGTGTGTTTGATATTAGTAATGCGATCATATTTGTGAATTACATGTAATAAGCATGTAACTTGTTTCCTATACAAGCTATATCCACACTGATAAAACATCTGATTACCTTTCTTTTTTATATGATATAAAAATACTTTGATAATTCAGGTGTGTCATTGGGGCATGTCCCATGGTGTTTTAATTGTATGACTTTTGTAAATAAATATTTTATGAAACACAAATTTTTTTTTATTTCCAAATGTTACGTCATATTCAAATCAGTTAGAACAGCTGTATGAAGCAGTTTATTTCCTGTTTGGCACACTTTATCTATTACTTAATTTTAAAGATGCAGAATGTTTTGGAAAATATGGTATAGGGGGATGGAGGGAGGGTATTGTTCTTCAAACAAGTTATGTGTAGGAAATAACAAAAGAACAGGACCGAGGAAAATCTTCTAAAGCACATGAGTTTATCGCTTTCAGTAAAGATTCAACTACCATGTGAAGATTTATCAATATTTTTTCACCCTATAACTCTCTATGATTTGACAAAATCTTCACTTGATATACAAGATGTAAATGGCAAGGTATTGAAGACTTGTGGCACAGGGAATTTCAAAGTTTTATTAGGAGATGTTATGCATGATCAAACACTGGAGATATGGAACATTACTCCAGAGGGCATATTAGGTCAAGATTTTCTGATGATAAATGTCAACAAGATAGATAATAAAAGATTGATTCTACACACAAATGAGACTGAGATATCATGTTGGATTTGGGGAGAAACAGAGGCCATTTGTCGAGTTGAAGTAAGACAAAGGACGGTGGTACCAACGAATTCAAAAATGTGGTTCAAGGTGAAAGTACAGACACCAAACCATTTGGCTGAGAGTGGTTACGTTGAAGGTTCTTCCGAAACATTTTCAAATAAGAAAAAAGCAGTTATACGGGGAATAGTGAACACCAGTTTACCAGAACAAAACATCCGAGTTGTCAATTTTGGTCAGACAGATGCTGAATCAAGTGCGGATCTAGGAAAGACTGACAGTGTTCAACATCGCATACATACAGGGACAACACAACCTATCAAGCAACCTCCTAGGCGTTTACCATTTGGAAATAAATAAATAGAGAAAGAATATGTGAAGAAAATGCTTGATAGAGCTGTCATTGGACCGTCAACTAGTGCCTCGTCTTCCCCTGTGGTACTGGTAACCATGAAAGATGGAACTCCAATGGTATGTATTGATTACCGCCGCCTTAATGACGTCACAACCAAAGATGCAAATCCACTGCCTCGAGTTGATGATTGTCTGGATTCCCTTTCTGAAGCGAAGTGGTTAAGAAGTATGGATTTGAATTCTGGGTATAGGCAGCTTGCAATGTCACTTGTAGATAAAGAGAAGACAGCTTTTACAACAAGTCATGCTCTTTATCAGTTTACAGTGATGCCATTTGGTCTAGCTAATGCACCATCCACATTTGAGAGGCTAATGGAAGACGTTCTTAGAGGTTTACAATGGTAGGAATGTCTGCTTTATACGGATGGCATTATTGTTTCAGGAAGATCTTCATGTATTCTTGAGAATGTTAGATGCCAATTTGAAACTCAAACCCTCAAAGTGTGTTTTCTTTCAGAGGAGAGTTACATTTTTTGGACACATTGTTTCCGAAGATGGGATACACACAGATCCTGACAAAATGTCTGCAGTGGAAAACTGGCCAGTACCCAAGAACGCAAAACAAATACGAAGTTTTCTTGGGTTATGTTCCTATTACCGACGTTTCATACAGGGTTTGCACCAATAGCTCGCCCAATGCACAAACTCTGTGAGAAAGGGGCTAAATTGAACTGGACGTCTGGATGCCAGACTGCTTTTGAACAGCTGAAGGGAGCTTTAGTGACCTCTCCAATATTGATGTATCCAGTATCAAACAAGTCCTTCACCCTCGATACAGATGCCAGTGCTTTTTCTGTCGGTGCAGTTCTATCCCAATAATTTGAAGGTTCTGAAAGAGTCATAGCATATATGAGCAAATCTATAAACAAACATGAGCAGTCTTATTGCGTGACAAGGAAAGAACTAGTGGCAGTAGTTTGTGCCTTGAAAACCTTCCATTCTTATTTGTATGGTCAAGAAGTAAGGCTAAGAACAGACAACGCTACTGTCAGCTGGATGAGAAATCTGAAGAATCCAACTGGACAAGTTGCGCGGTGGTTGGAGCTATTAGGACCATACAACCTGTCTGTTTCTCACAGATCTGGACGGAAGCATACACATGCAGATGCATTATCCCGTAACCCATGTAAAGTTTTCACAATGGAGCAGGATGGAAACCTTGTAGATGATGAAGATTACAAACTTTGTCCTGTTGAGGAAATGCCTGAAGACACGGCCAGGAGCAACATTGTTAGAGTCGTGACACGCAGTCAGAATAACAATCAGATAGAGCGTGACTTAACAATGGGATGTAGCATATTACCTGATTGGAATCCTGATGAGATAAAGAAACAACTGACCCAAACATAGCGCCAATTCTGACTGCTATTGAAAGTGGATGTAACCGCCCTACATGGAATGATGTTTCAAAGTATCCTGCAGCTCTCAAGACTTTATGGAGACACTTGGATCGCCCTCAGATGCATGGTGGCATGCTGCACAGAAAGTGGATGATTGATGACGGAGACGAGTCTGTTCTTCAGCCTGAAATTCCTGAAAGCAGAAAAGCAGACATTTTAAAGTACCACTATGATGTTCCATCTGCTGGACATTTGGGTGCAGACAAGACATTAGAAAAAATTGTTTCTACTGGACAATGATGAAAGACTTTGTAAAGAACTACTGTCGCAAATGCGATTTATGCTCTGCACGAAAACCTTCGAACGCATCAAATAGAGCTCCTATGAAGCTATATTTGACAGGTGAACCTATGGAAAGAGTTGCCGTAGACATTCCTGGTCCACTTTCGGTGACAGAAAGTGGAAATAGAAACATCTTTGTAATCTGTGATTGTTTTACAAAATGGACTGAAGCTATATTCATAGCCAATCAAGAAACAAAGGCATTTGTCAATGTTTTTTGTGTAGATTTGGAACACCTTTACAAATTCACTCTGACCAAGGCTCCAATTTCGGATCCAAATTGTTTCAGGACATGTGTGATTTATTTCAGATTGATAAGACTAGAACCACAAGCATGAGACCTCAAGCCAATGGTAATGTTGAGAGGTTTAACAGAACCCTGGCTAACATGTTAACCATATATTGTAAAGATGATCAACGATGTTGGGATCGATATCTTCCACAGGTGATGATGGCATACAGGGCCTCAAAGCATGCGACCACAAGCAAAACTCCAAACTCAATGATGCACGAAAGGGAGATAACCAAACCAGGCCTGCTACAGTAATCACTTGTTATTGAAATGTTGATTAGGGAATGGCTTCATAAGTTACAATATCTCGTGCCAAATCCCTTGTACAATTTTGACAATCAAATATGTTTAAAGTCAAAGTCGAAAGAAATTCAATGGTCCTGCGTTCGATACCTCATTATGTCTTCTTTATACTCTTTGATAATCTAAGGCCATCACAGGTGCTTCGCATCTCCAAAAGGTCCTAACAGTATTTCCTCTAGATTCCTGCCGCAGTATCTCTCTTGGTATCCCCCGTAACTGCCCGGAGTTCCAACAACAGCTTATCCATCAAATCTCATCAGTGTCTTATTTTTCTTTATCTGTGGTACATCTTTAATCATTGTTGGATCAGAAACGCCATATTCAGAAAAAAAAATACATGAACAAAAACTATTTTTGGAAAAGCGAAGTGATTATGATTGGGAGTCTGTCATAATAGATATGGGTAGAGAAGTTCAACCTCCTTTCCGACCCATTGATAAATTCTTTGAAGTCAAGGCATAAGACATCCTTTAAAGTCAGGTCATCAGACAGTCGTTACTGTGGGAAAAGTTCAATAACTGCTTAATTAGATCAAATTGCCTCCAAAAATAACGTTCAAGTTATTTTTGACCTAGAGGATATGATATTTTTCTTTAAGTTTTACTGATTATGATATTCAAAAGGAAACATTCATCTGAAAATTGTGTCAAAAACTTGATAACCTTTCATACAAGTTTTTAAAAATGACCAATTCGGTAACAATTTTAAAAGTAAATTTCTTGTACTCAACACAATCGCTAAAATTTCATTTAAAAAAAAATTAAATTATCATTTAAAATGTTATTGAGTTTTTTTCCATAATTTCTTTACTAAATAGCAGCAAGTTGATTTTTTGCTGTGAATATTCATGTGTTTAATATTGTGAAAAGAATATTCAAAGTAAAAAATTGTAAAATGTTGTATATTTGGCTATTTAAGGTCAACTAAAGTCCTTTTGAGCCGATATGCTTACATGTAACTTAATCTATAATTCAATCAACCATTTTATTTTTCAGTGCAAATTGCAATTTTTATTCAATGGTATCTAGCATTATGCCATATGATTTTCTTAATATCTTGCGCTTGTTTCATAATTTGCTGTTCTTTCTTGCTATGTTTTAATTCCAAATTGATATACCTATATACTGTTGCTGAATACATGAAAAGGTTCTTGAGCTAACGTTCTCATGCTCTTACAGCCTATACCATAATAAAAATTTATCCATGGGAGATAACTGTGTACACAATGCTGTCAATAAAGAACTCTCGTGTAATGAAGGTATATAATAATAGACGCAAAATAAGAAGTAGAAAAAGACAATGTCTCAAAAGATTGCCTATTTCCTTGATCCAGACGTTGGGAACTTTCATTATGGTAGGATTTGTGTGATTTTTATGTGAGGAGTGTATGATTGGCAAAGCAATGTACACAGAAATGCACTAGAGAGACGATATTTTGCTAGTCGACTTAGCATCGATTCGATGATGCTGCCTGGCTCACAGTTATTTGAACCCATTATGTATGTGATGCCTTTCAGCCACACCTGTTTATACGATGATTAAACCGATATAAACTCCATTTTCAACTGATGCAATATAACAGTACAATGGCGATAACACCAGGTACTGGAGCACCGGCAAATCTGGCTCCATAGGCAGATATGGCTATATAGTCAAATATTTAGGACGAATGTAAACAAACAAATCAATTGTGATCGCGAATTCCTTATGCACATAAAGAAATATGTTTTAGATGTGCCATGATAAATATGGCCAATAAAGTAGCCAGCTTTACATGAATACTGTCTGTTGACCTATATAATAGACCTAATTCCTACAGGAACTCTATCTAAATCAGAGATTTATAACGATTGAGTTATAAATCGCTGATTTAGATAGAGTTCCTACAGGAATTATAATTGACCATACAGTAAGACCTTTCAGTACCTAAGAGTAAAAAACAAGGATGTTTCGGTACTCTTTAAAGATGAAAAATTCTGAAGAACCTTTCAGTATAGAATCAACAACACACAGAATACTGAGTCAAAAGAAAAAAAATCCAGTACAAAGCGGAAACTTGGTCAAAGTGACGAAAATCTTATAAAATATTGCAGCAACCTTTTGGAAGTACTAAAGTGCCTCAAAAAACTATCAAAACATCACAGGATTGGAAAGACTGAGTACCCAGCCTAGATGTCTCTACCCCATTAAATGTTTTAGTCCAAGTTGGGAGAAAGTGGCTGGTAATTAATTAAGGTGAAAATAACAACAATGCTTGCATTTTGGAGAGTGAGGCTGAGTATTTTTGTCAATATTTTCTTGGTCTTTACATAGGTACCAATGTAACAGAGATAACCTTCCAAGCAAAGTTGTTATGAAGCAGCTATAGTATTTAACAAGAATATCAATATTACCGTGCCTGCATACATTACATCTCCAGCACACACTCAGGCATACACACATTTTATTTAGAGTCGCATACATATCAACATAGAGAGATATTAGCCAGGTGGTATAGGACTAGTAGTTAGCGCCTGATGAGGTAGCTCCTGCGAATTCCTCAAAAATTGTATTGATTAATGTATATGCTTATTGTATTAATTGTATATCTATGTACTGTAAAGCGCTTTAGAGTGGCTTATGTTAGCTAGATAGGGCGCTATTATCAAATGTTGTATATTAATATATATCTGTCATTGAGATAAGACTTCTTAACTAACTTATACAAGGAAGAAGAACTGATACAATTGTATATATGAAGTTATAACAAAATTTATTGCCAAAAAGATATATATATATATATATATATATATAGCTACATGTATGTATGCTGTTCTACAACAACTCTTAATTAGATTAATTAATATTTGATATGCACTGAACGGCATCCGTATGTTTCATTTGCTGACACTTTCAACTTTTCTATGGCTCAAAATTGAAAAAGTCTTTATTTTCACAGGCCCAGGCCATCCTATGAAGCCCCATCGTATAGCCCTTACACACTGCTTAGTGCTGCACTATGGCATCTACAAAAAAATGGAGGTAAGTTAAATTAATGTTTTGACATACAGCGAGGAGTGAACTTTAATTACCTGGACTAGTGTACATGTGATATGTAGCAATCACTTTGGGCGATATTCATGTACAGTTTAACTGTTATATTTACCTATAATATAAGGCACAAATGTGGATTCTGTAATCATATACTTTATATAGTATATCATAGAGTGCTGGTCTATTAATAGAAAAGTTATTGCTGAAAGTGGTGTGTGCACAGTCCTTGAGTAAGATATATTACTCTTGTTGTTAAATTCTGCCAATCTGGATCAGAGAATATAAATATATACCCGGTAAGGCATAATTATATATTGCCAAAAAGTGTAATATATACCCGGGTATATATATAATACATTCTAGGCTTGGTAGTGATGTGTCTAGAATGGAGTATTGAAAAAAATTAATCCTTTATTTTAGATTTACAGCCCTTCCCGAGCCTCTGGCCATGACATGTGTCGCTTCCACGCAGATGACTACATAGACTTCCTGCAAAGAGTTACGCCTCAGAACCACCAGCAGTTTACGAAGCAGCTTGGGATGTTTAATGTGGGCGATGACTGGTAAATAACACTGGAATATCTTATAAGCATTAGTAACTCGTTGTGCAGAAGTATATTCAAACTGCATTTTCTTAAGCCTGAAAAACTAAATGGTCTCAATATCAAAAAGAGTTTTTCCAGATTCCAATTGTCTTCTTATTTTGTTAGTTGAAACAAATTGGTAAAAATCAGCTTGGAAAGTTTGATAATATTGAAATAAATATTTGGTCCCAATCATGTATTAAATTACACATGCATTGTAAATAATGTACATGTAACTGCATACGATCGTGACATATCATGTGATGCTTTTTCTACATTGTGACACCACTAGCTACATGTAGTATAATTTCAATTTTGCTTTGGTGATCAATTAGGACAATTTGAAATACATTACGTTGTGAAAAGTCCATTCGTACAAATACGACTTATTGTAAATATGACCTGAACTAATGTAACGCCTTTTATTGCAAGAATAAACGATTTCTTAACAGTGTATGTTTGACTTAACAGAAATATTTCAAGAGATATTGTATTATTTCCATTTCAGCCCTGTGTTTGATGGCCTGTTTGACTTCTGTTCCATGTATACTGGCGCGTCTCTCGAGGGCGCTATCAAACTCAACAACAATGTTAGTATACACCCAAGCCACTCTTTTTCTGAAACATTTTACTTACAGCCCTCTTAACCCTTAAACCCTTAGATAGATTTTTTCTGTCTTGAAATCTGCAAGCCCTAGGTCTGGAAAATCAAAAATATTGTCCTTTGGTTGTGATGTTTATAACACACCATAAACGTCAAGCTCATGACGGAAGAGTTGCTGGTTTGAATCGCGTCATGACACTGTGTTGTATCCTTGAACAAGATACTTTACTCTGCTTGTTCCAGTCTACTCAGCTGTAAATGAGTACGAGGTTTGGCAGTGCTGGAATTGTTGAATACTAGCTGTAAGGGCCTAGCTGGCAGCACCGGCTGTATGCTCCCCAGGGAGTTGAAAAAGATATTGGCTGGTTACATAGGCCCAATAACCACAGATAATAATTTGTGAACAGCTTTGAGACAACATAGTTTGTGATAAGGCAGTACATAAGAACCTCAAATTGTTATTATTAATTAAGCATCATTTTGGCCACATGTTGATGTCTCTTTAGTGTTTGTGCTTTATCGGATATTGTTGATGTTTTCAGCACTGTGATATTGCTGTAAATTGGTCTGGTGGACTCCATCATGCCAAGAAATTTGAGGTATGTGTGTAACTGTTAATTACAAATTTCAAAGTATGATCAATATAGGATAACTGCCATCAGAAAACAGACCAAAATGGTAAATCAATTTTGGGATAATATGAGATTGTAGAAATGTGTTTTGAAGGACAGTGAAAAAAGTCGCTTTTGTGAAATATCCAGGTTCCTTTGTCATATAATTCTAGCATCCATTTTTTAGTCCATTTTATAATTGTAAGGATGATTAGAGTTCTTTCCATGACAACAGGATTCTGAGAATCTCAGGTCTTACATTTTTAATTCATTCTCATCAATTTGTATCAGTAGTTATGCTCATCAAATAGCATTACCTGAAAAGAATGTTACAAATGAATTTAGATGTTGAATAAATGAAAAATATATATTTTAAGATTATTAATAGCTGGGTAAATTAATTGTTGACCCACCAGTTAGTATTTTATGATTGTTTGTTTTGCAGGCGTCTGGGTTTTGTTATGTGAATGATATAGTGATATCTATCCTGGAACTTCTCAAGTAAGTTATGCTATAGTAATAAATGACAAAAGAATTCTGAAAACAGTGTGTCCATTACAGGGTCCATTATTGTATACCAATAATCGTTCATGTGCAGTCTCATATGTTTGTGGATGTGAACAAATCCTGAAACTAGAAAATTAATTTGATTTCAATGCCAGTGTTCAATTTCATCGACAAAATTGACAATATTAGCCATGCACTAAGTTGCACTTTGTGTGTTAGAGCATTCTCGATTTCCTCCTCTTTTGGATTGAGTAGAACGTTTAAAGCTAGTACACTAGCAGTAGTCTTTTATCGAATTCATGTTTAAGGTACACACGACAAGTCCAAGTCTTGGTAATGTTAACTTATCAAAGTTAACCCCATCATTTAAAACATGTACGTGTATGGAAAGCATTTGCCTCTAGCTAATATGGAACATGCATCCAGATTAACTCATTCACCCCTGAAAACACATTTGAACTCTTCCATTTCAAAGGTTGGAATATTTCATTATGACATTTCAGGGGTGATTGAGTTATGCAGAGCATAGCTTTACTGTGTGTTGATAACATTATTTTTATATAACTTTTTGTTGATAATATAATATAAAATTGTCTGTTGATCCTCTAGTATAAAACTGTCTGCTAATAATATGATAAAAAAACCCTGATACAGACAAGTGAATCAGAAATATGCATGCATAACTTTAAAGTTAAATTTTCTTTAAAAAAAAAAGAGTTCAGATGTTGTCATGGTGATAACTTGTGTTGCAGATTTCATCCCCGTGTGCTATATATAGACATAGACATTCACCATGGTGACGGTGTACAGGAGGCGTTCTACCTCACAGACAGAGTCATGACCGTGTCGTTCCACAAGTACGGCAACTTCTTCTTCCCGGGCACAGGTAAGTCTGACGGGTTTAGTTCGACAAAAGACATACAGCAATGTTAAAAATCACTTCTCAATAAACATGAAACACTGTCGACAACTGATTGTGATCAAGAACACCTTAATTAATCTTTATTTTGGTAATAAAAAAGAGATATTTCTGTATTACAGGTGACATGTATGAGATAGGAGCAGAAAGCGGCCGTCACTACTCTGTCAATGTTCCGCTTAAAGAAGGCATAGACGATCAAAGTAAGTCAGAACTGTTTTCCATCTCTGAGAAATGTTTGTTAGTTTGATTGGTAAACCTTGTTGTGGTCAGTCAGGAAGCGATATTAGACTTTTGTACACTAATGATGAAGACGTGATTGAGAATCTTGATCTTTATGTACCCCATGTACCCCTTATATACCAGAAAATGGTTGGCAATTCTGTTGTGAGCAGACAGGTATGGTAAATGGCTGACTTCCTGTTGCCAAGGGTTGTCTCAAATATAATACAGGGGATGGTCTCAGTACAGGAAATGTTTTGACTTCCAGTTTACGAGGAGTTGTCTCTGTGCAGAAAATAAGATACTTGTGATTGTCTCTGAGTAGGAAATAGTTTACGAGTAGTTGTCTCTGAGTAGGAACTAGTTTACGAGGAGTTGTCTCTGAGTAAGAAATAGTTTACGAGGAGTTGTCTCTGAGTAGGAAATAGTTTACGAGGAGTTGTCTCTGAGTAGGAAATAGTTTACGAGGAGTTGTCTCTGAGTAGGAAATAGTTTACGAGGAGTTGTCTCTGAGTAGGAAATAGTTTACGAGGAGTTGTCTCTGAGTAGGAAATAGTTTACGAGGAGTTGTCTCTGAGTAGGAAATAGTTTACGAGGAGTTGTCTCTGAGTAGGAAATAGTTTACGAGGAGTTGTCTCTGAGTAGGAATAGTTTACCAGGGGTTGTTTTTGAGTAGGAAATAGTTTACGAGGAGTTGTCTCTGAGTAGGAAATAGTTTACGAGGAGTTGTCTCTGAGTAGGAAATAGTTTATGAGGACTTGTCTCTGAGCACGAAATCTGTTTTTAACCGATGGTTCTTAACATGTTTGATTAGCTTTAATGCTAAAATATTTCATTATTCAGTAATATTGTATTGTTTGCTTGGATAAATGGCCTTCAAGTCTGTGAACAAATGCCATGATTTCTTATCATCTCTCAAAGACACATGAGTCAAATGTGATAATAGGTAGAGGGGAAGATACGAGTGGTTGTCAAATGTGATAATAGGTAGAGGGGAAGATACGAGTGGTTGTCAAATTTGATAATAGGTAGAGGGGAAGATACGAGATGTAGAGGGGAAGATACAAGATGTTGAGGTGAAGATACGAGTGGTTAAGGGGAAGATACGAGCAGTTGTCAAATTTGATAATAGGTAGAGGGGAAGATACAAGATGTTGAGGTGAAGATACGAGTGGTTAAGGGGAAGATAGGAGCAGTTGTCAAATATGATAATAGGTAGAGGGGAAGATACGAGATGTAGAGGGGAAGATACGAGATGTAGAGGGGAAGATACGAGATGTAGAGGGATGATACGAGTGGTTGTCAAATGTGATAATCGGTAGAGGGGAAGTTGCGAGTGTTTGAGGGGAAAATACGAGTGGTTGAGGGGAAGATACGAGTGGTTGTCAAATGTGATAATAGGTAGAGGGGAAGATACGAGATGTAGAGGGGAAGATACGAGATGTAGAGGGGAAGATACGAGATGTAGAGGGATGATACGAGTGGTTGTCAAATGTGATAATCGGTAGAGGGGAAGTTGCGAGTGTTTGAGGGGAAAATACGAGAGGTAGAGGGGAAGATACGAGTGGTTGTCAAATGTGATAATAGGTAGAGGGGAAGATACGAGATGTAGAGGGGAAGATACAAGATGTCGAGGGGAAGATTTGAGTGTTTGTCAAATGTGATAATAGGTAGAGATACGAGATGTAGAGGGGAAGAAACGAGATGTAGAGGGGAAGATACGAGATACGAGATGTAGAGGGATGATAGGAGATGTAGAGGGATGATACGAGATGTAGAGGGGAAGATACGAGTGGTTGTCAAATGTGATAATAGGTAGAGGGGAAGATACGAGTGGTTGTCAAATGTGATAATCGGGAGAGGGGAAGTTGCGAGTGTTTGAGGGGAAAATACGAGTGGTTGAGGGGAAGATACGAGTGGTTGTCAAATGTGATAATAGTTAGAGGGGAAGATACGAGTGTTGTCCAATGTGATAATAGGTAGAGGGGAAGATACGAGTGGTTGTCAAATGTGATAATAGGTAGAGGGGAAGATACGAGATGTAGAGGGGAAGATACGAGTTGTAGAGGGGAAGATACGAGATGTAGAGGGGAAGATACGAGAGGTAGAGGGGAAGATACAAGATGTTGAGGTGAAGATACGAGTGGTTAAGGGAAAGATACGAGCAGTTGTCAATTGTGATAATCGGTAGAGGGGAAGATACGAGAGGTAGAGGGGAAGATACAAGATGTTGAGGTGAAGATACGAGTGGTTAAGGGAAAGATACGAGCAGTTGTCAATTGTGATAATCGGTAGAGGGGAAGATACGAGATGTAGAGGGGAAGATACGAGATGTAGAGGGATGATATGAGTGGTTGTCAAATGTGATAATAGGTAGAGGGGAAAATAGGAGTGTTTTAGGGGAAGATACGAGTGGTTGAGGGGAAGATACGAGTGGTTGTCAAATGTGATAATAGGTTGAGGGGAAGATACGAGTGGTTGTCAAATGTGATAATAGGTAGAGGGGAAGATACGAGTGGTTGTCAAATGTGATAATAGGTAGAGGGGAAGATACGAGTGGTTGTCAAATGTGATAATAGGTAGAGGGGAAGATACGAGTGGTTGTCAAATGTGATAATAGGTAGAGGGGAAGATATGAGTGGTTGTCAAATGTGATAATAGGTAGAGGGGAAGATACGAGATGTAGAGGGGAAGATACAAGATGTAGAGGGGAAGATACGAGTGTTTGAGGGGAAGATACGAGTGGTTGAGGGGAAGATACGAGTGGTTGTCAAATGTGATAATAGGTTGAGGGGAAGATACGAGTGGTTGTCAAATGTGATAATAGGTAGAGGGGAAGATACGAGTGGTTGTCAAATGTGATAATAGGTTGAGGGGAAGATACGAGTGGTTGTCAAATGTGATAATAGGTAGAGGGGAAGATACGAGTGGTTGTCAAATGTGATAATAGGTAGAGGGGAAGATACGAGTGGTTGTCAAATGTGATAATAGGTAGAGGGGAAGATACGAGTGGTTGTCAAATGTGATAATAGGTAGAGGGGAAGATACGAGTGGTTGTCAAATGTGATAATAGGTAGAGGGGAAGATACGAGTGGTTGTCAAATGTGATAATAGGTAGAGGGGAAGATACGAGTGGTTGTCAAATGTGATAATAGGTAGAGGGGAAGATACGAGTGGTTGTCAAATATGATAATAGGTAGAGGGGAAGATACGAGTGGTTGCCAAATGTGATAATAGGTAGAGGGGAAGATACGAGATGTAGAGGGGAAGATACAAGATGTCGAGGGGAAGATACGAGTGTTTGTCAAATGTGATAATAGGTAGAGGGGAAGATACGAGATGTAGAGGGGAAGATACGAGTGGTTGAGGGGAAGATACGAGATGTAGAGGGATGATACGAGTGGTTGTCAAATGTGATAATAGATAGAGGGGAAGATACGAGATGTAGAGGGGAAGATACGAGATGTAGAGGGATGATACGAGTGGTTGTCAAATGTGATTATAGATAGAGGGGAAGATATGAGATGTAGAGGGGAAGATACGAGATGTAGAGGGGAAGATACGAGATACGAGATGTAGAGGGATGATACGAGATGTAGAGGGGAAGATATGAGTGGTTGTCAAATGTGATAATAGGTAGAGGGGAAGATACGAGATGTAGAGGGGAAGATACAAGATGTAGAGGGGAAGATACGAGTGTTTGAGGGGAAGATACGAGTGGTTGAGGGGAAGATACGAGTGGTTGTCAAATGTGATAATAGGTAGAGGGAAAGATACGAGTGGTTGTCAAATGTGATAATAGGTAGAGGGGAAGATACGAGTGGTGGTCAAATGTGATAATAGGTCGAGGGGAAGACACGAGTGGTTGTCAAATGTGATAATAGGTAGAGGGGAAGATACGAGATGTAGAGGGGAAGATACAAGATGTTGAGGTGAAGATACGAGTGGTTAAGGGGAAGATACGAGTGGTTGTCAAATGTGATAATAGGTAGAGGGAAGATACGAGATGTAGAGGGAAAGATACGAGTGGTGGTCAAATGTGATAATAGGTAGAGGGAAGATACGAGATGTAGAGGGGAAGATACGAGTGGTGGTCAAATGTGATAATAAGTAGAAGGGAAGATATGAGTTGTTGTCAAATGTGATAATAGGTAGAGGGGAAGATACGAGATGAAGCATTTTAATATAAACATGTGTTATTTTACTTTCCAGTGTATATGACAATATTCCAGGGTGTGATGAAATCTGTGATGGAGTTTTACCGACCTACCTGTGTTGTGTTACAGGTGAGTTATCTTGTCTGTATATCGTCTACCAGTGATGCTATTTGATGATATTATTTTCAGTGCACTTGACAAGGGGAAATATGAGTAACAAATGCTGTGGCCTGAATTGATGTTATAATTTGCCTGGATATTTTGGTTGAAATGACATAGCATGTATCTATCATGCAAATTACCAAAAGAATGGCTTACTCTAGACAATTGTTTTAAGTTTTTGCACTTAAACATGCCTAAAAGATGATTTTTATACATGTTCTGTATTATTCATTGATCTCATTATTCAGTCCAAATAAGCTTGTGTTTTCTGTTGCAGTGTGGAGCTGACTCCCTCGGGAGTGACAGACTTGGCTGTTTTAACCTCAGCATCAAAGGTCACGGGTAGGTTATCTTGTTTAATAGGAGTGATTCTGAAAATTTGAAAAAAAAAAAGGAAATGTGTAATGCATTTTAATCCAGATAACTAGAAGAAACACATGGCATTTATACATTTTCAAATATTGCCATATCTTCGGAATTTACAGAAATAAATTTCATTGTTCTTTAAATGAACCTGTTCATTGTGTATTAAAGTCATTCATGGTCCTGAAACAATTATTTCAATGTGTGTGTATTTTAACAGCTCACCTCAATCTGCCCAAGTTATAGAATTGAGTGTAGAGCTAGAAGAATATCTCAAATAAAAGGGGAGAGGTATTTGTCAGAGACTACATCATCTGTTATCAAGAGAATTAATGAAAAACAGTTGATAGAATCTAAATAACCCTATAATCCCTGAAAGGAAGGTGCCTTTAAAATGCTATTCTCACCCTTTAATTTCCAGATTTTCTCCTGTTTGAAGAGATGTCTAATTTTGCAGTGTATTGATGTTTATTACAACATTTGAATGGGAGAAAATCTGAAAATCAAGATGCCTGAATAACAGCAATGTGGGCACAGTTCTACCTGAATGGCCACAGGTCTTTCCCATACATCTTATTCTCGAAAAGCTCCGTATGACAATGCATCAAAACATTACTAATATTTATTATAATACTTATTATTTGATGAAGATTTCATTATGTACCCTGGTGATATTTTTGCAGAGATTGCGTGAAAGTGATCCGGGATTACAACATCCCCATGCTTGTGCTCGGGGGAGGTGGCTACACAAAGAGGAACGTAGCTCGATGCTGGACGTACGAGACCGCAGTCTTACTGGACGAACAGATCAGCAACGAGATCCCATACAATGGTCAGTAATGTGTTGATCAGAAAAGATGTTCACAATAGTTCACCACTTAATAAGCTTTGGGTGTGTTTTTGTTTCCCTTTTATGCCTGAGAATCACTTTAATTGATCTTAAATTTCAGAGTTGAAAAGTTTTGATGTATTGGTAAATTTATTTGCATGACTAAAGCTTTGATAAAACATTTCTTAACATTACCCCGCAAAAACTTTCAACAAAATACTTTTCAGAGTTGATGAAGTTGTGATTATTTCTTTAAAAAAAAAAAAAAAAAAGAGAAAAAGTTTCTGGGTTTTGATTGAACAATGTTTTGTTTGAACATAAATCATATGAAATTCTGATAACACAATGAAGAGACTTCCAAGAACTAACACAAAACACAATATGTGTTTAAAGAAAAGTAAATATTGTGAATTTCTTTCTCTATTAATGAAAGCTTCATAAAAATGAAAAAAAATAAAAGAAACATGTATTATGTTATGTACCAGGGTAACAGGAGAGTTTTAATGTTCAGAATCAGACAGGGATACAAACCAGGATATTGGAACCTGAGATAGTTGCTCGGAAAAACTGAGCTACCTGGGTCGCATTCGCATATTCAGGTTCAGTTAGTTGAAAAGGTTGAACCGGATACGCAAAAGGGACCTTAGTCAGTTGGCACGAGATTAAAGGGAGATAATCCAATATCTTAAAATCTGCAGTTGATTTCTGCAGTGTTTTGCTTGCCAGTGGACAGGGAATCTTTAAAATGACACACATTGATTTGAGTGTTGCTCTAATATCAAACATCATTTTGAGTTCACTTTTTTTTTGTCTATACAGAGTACCTTGAGTATTTTGCACCTGACTTTACCCTTCACCCAGACATTTCAACAAAACAGGAGAATCTCAACTCAAAACAGGTGAGCTCAGTCACTTCAGTATAGAGTACCTGGTAAACACTATCGATGTCAAATACCTCTCCTAACTGGAACAGGGGTGGTTAGTCCTATGGCAGTTTAAGTCTTGTTTTATTTTTGAAACATTTCATTCAATAGTTGTGCCAAGTAAGATGTTTTTACATTTGATAGATTGCAAATCCTTCTTGCATTTGACAGGGATTTGCTATATTTGCAAATCTAAATCTTTGATTTATCATGTGTTTTATATCACCTAACTTAAAATTAATAAGTTTGGCAGACTGGGTAATCTTGGGATGGCACGGTGTATTGTACCAAAAGTAGGTCACTGTGACCTATCCTATCACCTCTTTTCATAATGATTGAAAAAGGGGCACATCTACTCCGGCCGTCACCTACAGTTACAATATTTATAAGCACGTCTTTTGATAGTGGAATCTTTTAGTCTTTTGACTCAAACCTCACCTGAGAGCACATTCTTGTCTTGGTTTTGTCCAACAGACAAACAGATGTCAAGAATGGTCCAATACATATTGTTCAATCACCTGTTGTACATACTAGTCAAGGTGTGTACAATCTATGTTATTTCTTTCCATTAAATGGTTTTAAAACATTTTCCTTTCATTAATTATTCCTTACATTATGTCATGACAAAATCTGAAAGGGTTGTCAGAATTCATGCACTCATACCAATTCATCAAATCATATTACAAATATTGGTTGTTTGTATAAAATTTTGCAAGGCAAAATCAATTCTGTGTTAGCCAATTTTGAGTGAATGATGCCCCTGGGGGAGGGAAAAAGCCAATTGAATTTACCATCCTATTGCTTTCGTTGCAGTACCTTGATCATATTCGCCAAACTGTCCATGAAAATCTGCGGAACTTGAGCAATTCCCCGAGTGTCCAGATGCAGGATGTGCCACCAGACCTCCTCAGTCTAGAAAACACTGAGGAATTAGACCCTGACATACGGAACCATCAGGATACGGTTGATAAACGGTACAATATTAAGGTTTTGTGAAATTTGTGGCCGAGGATATCTTGTTTTAGATCATTCTAGTAAGAGGTGACACTTTACTGTTGACTTAACTGTTATGTTACTTACTATTTACGGAAATTTGTCAGCCAGTTCAGTTACATCTCTCCGAAAACTTCTGAACAGATTTTGATCAAAATTCATTCGAAGGTCCAATATTAGAATGCCTTGAATGAGTTCCTAATTCAGGGTTCAAAGTGAAGGCCAAGGTCATTTAATAATCGAATAAATTTGTATTACTAACTTTAATATCTTAATTTTGTTTTGAATAGCCTATATAGCTGTGAAGACATCAAAAGTCTATACAGATAACAGATGCACTTTTCAATAACTTGTGCCAGTACTTTATCGAGGTCATTTTCTACTGGTTACTAGCATTGGAGTCCTTCCCTTGACTGTCAGAACCTATATGGCATATTGGATGTCATCAAATATCTGTTTTTACTGGCAGTATCACTGCTATGCTTGATTAGTAGAATAATTCAGATGTTGTATAAATAATTATTGTAGTCATATTTTTTTTGCATGATTTCCAATTATGCAGTGAATTTTTCCCAATTTTAGACCATGGCCTTATTTACAATGCTGTCAGATAAAGCCCCTAGTGGTTTCTATTACTTTGTAATGGGGTTAAAGTTTGCAATCTTTGACCTAGGAACCTTTGGTTATAATAAATTGTATCTCTTCACTGGGATTGATTGTCTTACGATTGGTTGATTTTGATTACAGGGTGGAACCAGCTAACGAGTTTTATGAAGGAGACAAGGACAATGATAAGGAAAATGATGGCTTCCTGGAAGTTTGAGATGAAGCTCTCTCTAGAAATGGAGGAATTCCTGAAGCTGGTGGCCATTTGAGGGGCTATTGGGTTGCATCATGACTTCTGTGGCCATTGTAGCAGATATTTCTCAAAAACTTTACATTGCAAGGAGACACATGACTATCGGCTGGACCGAAGTTTACCAGTCCTAGCGATGTGAATAGGATGCTCTGTGGCATACAGAGTTTGGATGTATGGTACACAGAATAGTGAGCTGTGGTATACAGAGTGTTGCATCGACTCAAATTCATCATTTGATGGTGCTCACTGACGTCAGCACGCCCTGGAAAAATGCTCATGACATGAAGACGGTGCTGGCAGTGAACACAGAAAGTGAAGGCAGCAGAATTACTTTTCTTTAAGTTGATATTAAACAGCATCTTTGTCTTATATGACAGAAGGTGGCGTTGATTGACTCTAACACTGTGTGGTATAGAATGTGACGTTGATTGACGCTAACACTGTGTAGTATAGAATACTATAAGTTATAGGGTGTAGTTAGTTACTGTGTATTAGTGACATTAAAGCATGAGAGTGCTATGTGTTCTACTCTTGGTAAGGTTTTCCAGTTCAGCATCAGTTTACAAAGTAATTTTGTATTGGACCAGACGGTTTTACACTTTATTTTAAAACAGTTCAAATCAATCATATTTAGGGTGGTCAGGTGGTGTAGTGGATAACCCACTCGCCATTCGCCAAGGCAGTCAGGGTTCGATTCCCAGATCGGACATGAGAACCTATCGGGTCACCTGCCCAGCCATGTGGGTTTTCTCCGGGTGCTCCGGTTTCCTCCCACAATAAGTCCCCCAGGCGCTAACATCTGGGCCAACAAGAGTGATTAATATAAGGTGAAATAACTTATTTCATAATTGTTGTCAAATAAATTAAGTTTACATTATATAAATCATATTTGAACAGAATAATCAGCATCAATGTGTTGCAAGCATGTAATTGACAGCTACTTGTGTAACTAGTGGATCAAAATAGTATGTAGATAGGAGACCAAAGCACTCAGTGTTTGTGAATAACTATTTACTTTAATTATCCAGTAAGTGGATGAGAGTAGTGACCATTTTCTTCCCATGGGTTACACTTATGCCTTTTATTGTCAGACAGCTCTTAGATGTTCAGTTAAGGAATACACATTGACCTACTTCATTGAGATCTTTTGGGAAGACTTTTGCAAGTATTTGTAAAGCCTACCATATTTTTCATGTTACATTATGTTTTGTTTAGATGTCTTTAGATACTTACACCATTTCAATGTTGTACAAATGAACTGTACAGCAATGTTGAATACAGTTCAGGTCGCGGTCCAGACCTTCTGTCCTAGCCATGGGGGATTTTAATTCTAGAAGATTAAAATTAAACAAATAGTCCATAAATGATTTATCCGTAGATGTTTTCACATATTGTTAAAAATTATTATCTATAAAAGATTTTAGTGACATTTAATTTTGTAATTATTTTTTTTCGATATAAGATTTGAGTAGGAGTTATTATGTGTAGATGAAAATATATGCATTCTTGTTTTCAATCTTTAACTATCAAAACAAAACAAAATAAAGTAAAATGTTAAACGTTGTCTTGATTGGTGAAGCTCAGCGAGTGTTGTTCTCTACATCAATGTGTTGTAGAAGATTTATTTTGTCCAATGAATGTGAATTTTCAAGTCTTTATCAAAAACTTGTCAATGTATTTATATTGTTGTTAGAAAGTTAGGGTCTTTTTGAGAGAGAGAGAGAGAGAGAGAGAAAAAAAGTAAAAGAACCAAAACTGAGAAAATTACTAATTCATCTATTGGTACTTTCCGATGAGATATAACTATGTTAAATGTTTTATCTTACATTCGCTATGACACATTTTAATATACATCAATGGACAGTAATCAAGGTGATCTGACGCATTTCAATACACATCTATGGACAGTAGTCAAGGTGATCTGACACATTTTAATATGCATCAATGGACAGTAATCAAGGTGATCTGACTCATTTCAATACACATCTATGGACAGTAATCAAGGTGATCTGACACATTTTAATATACATCTATGGACAGTAATCAAGGTGATCTGACACATTTTAATGCACATCAATGGACAGTATGTTGGTGTGTTGTCATCTATAACCTATCAATATTATACCAGTACAGTACATGTATCTGTATTGAAGAATGGCTTAGTGACTATTTGCCATCAGTATTACATATGTGGTGTTTGTATTACCTACAGTAGATCTGATTAGTTCATTCAGTTTGACTTTGACCAGGACATAATAAAAAAATGAAGTAAATTATTGGATACTTCATTAACCATGCTTCTCATTTTCATTTTTGCTATTTCACACTTGTTAAAAATAAAATTGAATTGCTGGAAAGAAAATGGAAGAAATTTCTCTAAAGGGCTATGTATGGTTTGGGCCTGTTTTGGCCCCCAAATGCATCAAAATTCAAAACCTTTAAATGAACTTTGAAATGACTGTTTCTTGAATTTTGAATACTTTCCAAATACTTTTATGAAAATATTTATTTATATTTCTAATTATTGTTGCCATGGTAACAAGTTCAAATTTGCATAAATTAGAAAAAATTGAATATTCAGTGAATATTGTGATATTTTGCATAGTTTTTCTCCTAGAAACTATAGAGCACATGCTTGAACAAACTCAATATCAAAGGATAATGTGTAGGCACCTATAATACATCTTTAGGAGAAATATAAAGTTTGTTCAAGAGTGCACTCATGGTAGCTATGAGAAAAACTAGGTGAAAACCTGTCAAAATTGACTGAATAATCAAATTTCAATAATTTATGCAAATATGACCTGGTTACCGTGGCAGCCAAAATTGAAAACACAAATAAATGTTTACATAATAGTACTGGGGAAGTATTCAAAATTAAAGAAAGTGTCGGTTGAAAGTTCTATTGCAGATTTTTTATTTTGATGGATTTGGGGGCCAAAAAGGCCCAAACCATCCATAGTCCTTTCTGTTGAAATCTGTTCAATGAGGTATTGAATTTGAAAGCTAATGGAAAGTAACCAATACTGTGATAATTAATGAGGCAAAAGCATGATACTTATGCTTTAATACTTAAATTAGCGTAACCAATCTTAAAAAGAAATAATTTGAAAATCAATGCATTTTAATACTGATTTGTATTGGAACTATTTTTTTAAATAGCATTTTGTTGTATTCAAATAATGAAGCATTTCATATCAGTTATTTTTTTATTGTTTATTTTCAAGGATGCACACAGGTAAACAATGTTGATTCAGTTTTCACATGATCATTCCAGAGGAACAAAAAGTCCTGATTTTGATATTGGGCATATGCTTAAGAATTTGTCAGGTTGGATATATTTTTATTGTATTAGAAAGAAAACTTAAAATCAAGATAGTGTTAATTACAGCCATATTCTTTGATTTCTTTGATTATGAATAGTGATGGATATTCCATCTAATTTCGTTTAATATACATGCTTATTATGTCGTATTATGAAGGTAACAAATTTGTATTGAATTAAAGTTATTTTTTAAGTACATGTGTGATCGTTGTTCTATTTTAATGCTTCTAAATCAAATGCCTTTTTGAAAAGAAAACTTAATAGTTTTCTTGAAAGATTTGTGGAAAAAAACATTTTTTTTAATTAAAGACACATACTGTAAAGGGTTACTTATTGTTAGAAGCAGCCAAGTTTTCACGAACATCCCTTATTTTCCCCCCTTTAAATCGGTTAATGCTGTACCAGTGCCATTGTGTAATAAGAGTTACCCCCCTTGTATCGTCACTTTTTGTCGTGATACTGACGGAAGTCACATGACTTACCACCTGGAAACAACAAAGCGTACCGGGACACCACACTATTGACTTATTAGCGTAATGAACGGAGGGATCTTCTGATGTGAAAGCATGTGGGATTTGAAAGAAACCAGAGCGAAATGGAAGATATGAGCAGATCGAATGGATTCAGCACCTACAGGAGCAACAATCGAATGGACGATATGCCAGAAAGACCTTCTTCAGATGCCGTAAGTTGTGTTTATTTTTCGATGTTATATTAAGGATCGAGTGTTATCTGTTGTATGATCTGTGTGGATCGTCTGTCACTCGGTGTAACGGAACCGACTCAGTGCGGGCTGTTTTTTAAAGGCCCTTAGTTATATCGAATTCATGTGCAGAATTTTACATGTAATGCCAAAACTTTTGAATACACTTCGAACATCTCTGAAAAAAAGTTTTGATAAACAAATTCTTTTTAAGTTTTAAGAGATCAGCATTGACAGTCCAACGGTATTAAGTGTCAGAATGATAGTCATATAGTGCATTGAATCGTTTTCAAGTTGTTTACTCTCACGACATGTGGATGTCATTGTTTCGATTTGTCACCATAAAAGAATAATTATGATGAAGACAAAATAGAAAGAACTGTTTCGCGTAACCCGTTATATATCTGACAGCCAATATTCCGTTTTACGTATTGGCACTGGCCAGCATACACCATCTCACATTGACGTCCGGAATCCAAATACTGTTTCTATTGGTAATATGAGCAACATCAAAATAAACATGTACATTAGTTCAAATAAACATTAACAAGATTAAACACTTAATTTTAAATGCGCAAATGTGATCAACATTTAAGATAAATCCTTGTTTACTTCAAACAGCTATTGGCAAACTTTGGGAGAACTGATACACATGTCTTTTCACCTCAGTTATCTAATTGACAGTTGTGAATTGTGAATGACAGTTTGTCGAGTCTTTTAAATAGAATGTTCTTCTCGCCAGCTAATAACATCATGGACTAAATGTGTCTTTTAAACCAATTTCAATGTTGACTTTAAATTGACCCAAGAGTTTTTGAATACCATAGAAACACACTTTTCTTATCTAAGGTATGTCAAGATTATTCAAGGGGATAATTTTCTTTTAACTAAATGTTGACTATTAATAAAGGGAAACATGACTTAATCAAACATTATTGTTTCTACCATTTTTTCCTGAATTGTAACGTTATACTAATTTAGCAATTTTGAAACCATCATTCAACACAGAACTGAGCTAAAATAAAACAGAGTTCATTATACTATATTCAAGTTTTATTAGTCTGTAAATTGTCTGTCATTCAGAGTAGATGTAACCGATGAAATATTAATACTTCACATAGGTAGTCAAAATTTTATCACTAAATCTTTACAGTTGAATCAGCATATAAAGGTTTGTAGCTGTACTTATGTGTGTAAGTGTTCCGTTTGTCACTCTTCAGAATAAAATAAGTTTATTTTCATTAGTGACATGATCACTACCCCATACTCAGAACTGGGCTAAAGTGTAGGTGACTTCATGATACTTTCAGACATTTTTTCTGTAGTCTTACTATCTATATAGGTCTACATATATATACCTGGTATTTAAAACATTGTTTTACGTTTTACTACTTTGTAAAAATTCTTGATAGCCATGAAAAAGTTCAGTTGAATTGAATACCTTCAATGCACCAGTTAATAGAAAAGTTTCTTAAGGGTGACAAACTAATTGATTATGTAGCAATATTATTGGGCTGGTGATACAGCTATGTAGCAATGTTATTGGGCTGGTGATACAGCTATGTAGCAATATTATTGGGCTGGTGATAAAGCTATGTAGCAATATTATTGGGCTGGTGATACAGCTATGTAGCAATATTATTGGGCTGGTGATAAAGCTATGTAGCAATATTATTGGGCTGGTGATACAGCTATGTAGCAATATTATTGGGCTGGTGATACAGCTATGTAGCAATATTATTGGGCTGGTGATACAGCTATGTAGCAATATTATTGGGCTGGTGATACAGCTATGTAGCAATATTATTGGGCTGGTGATACAGCTATGTAGCAATATTATTGGGCTGGTGATACAGCTATGTAGCAATATTATTGGGCTGGTGATACAGCTATGTAGCAATATTATTGGGCTGGTGATACAGCTATGTAGCAATATTATTGGGCTGGTGATACAGCTATGTAGCAATATTATTGGGCTGGTGATACAGCTATGTAGCAATATTATTGGGCTGGTGATACAGCTATGTAGCAATATTATTGGGCTGGTGATACAGCTATGTAGCAATATTATCGGGCTGGTGATACAGCTATGTAGCAATATTATTGGGCTGGTGATAAAGCTATGTAGCAATATTATTGGGCTGGTGATACAGCTATGTAGCAATATTATTGGGCTGGTGATAAAGCTATGTAGCAATATTATCGGGCTGGTGATAAAGCTATGTAGCAATATTATTGGGCTGGTGATACAGCTATGTAGCGATATTATTGGGCTGGTGATACAGCTATGTAACAATATTATTGGGCTGGTGATACAGCTATGAAGCAATATTATTGGGCTGGTGATACAGCTATGAAGCAATATTATTGGGCTGGTGATACAGCTATGTAGCAATATTATTGGGCTGGTGATACAGCTATATATGTAGCAATATTATTGGGCTGGTGATACAGAATTTTAATTTTAAAAACATGCACCCTGGGAATATCGAACCATGCATTTCCTGTCTAATATAATAAACTGCAGTACGAGGTACATGTATATTGTTTTACTGGTGTGGTGGCCGGCTTGGGGGGTTAGGTAATATATATATGTATAGCATCGTATTTACATTCTGCCTTGGTTTATTGCAGGCAAATATGTATATATGCCTTTCACTGTCATTACATTAAGTGCCAGGTGCAAAGCTTATGGTTTTTCGGCATAACATTCCTATATTACTGTATATTACAGTGCATGTAAACTCAACTGTTTTACTGGTTAGCCAAGGTGTGCTCCTGTGTAATAACTTAATATAAAGTGTTGA